TATCCAGAGCCATGGGCCTGCTTTTTTCTCCTGTACTTTTAATAAGTCACCAAACCCTATAAAAAAAAAATCTTTTGAGCTGAGCAGTGGTGGCGCACACCTTTAATCCCAGTACTCAGGAAGCAGAGGTAGGCAGATCTCTGTGAGTTCGAAGAGAGCCTGGTCTACACACAGAGAAACCCTGTCTCAAAAAACTTGCCAAAAAATTATTTATTTATTTATTTATTTATTTATTTATTGAGACAGTCTCTCTCACTATGTAGCTCTGGCTGGCCTCAAACTCAAAGAAATTCACCTGCCTCTATATCCCCAGTGCTAAAAAGTGTGCTGCCACCACACTCAGCTTTAAATTCTTCTTTGAAAATATTTCAAACATTCAATCCATGAATGTTGGAAATATTGACAGTAACTAGGACAGTGCTGGGACTTAAGCAAATTATTTTTAATCCTTACCTTGGAGCTGCATATAGCACTACTGTGATAGTCCCACGCCACCGTGGAAGAGGTAGGCACGGTGCTCACGGTGCTCACACACACTGCCCTGTACTGTACTTTTGTACTGTCTCCTTTTCCATATTCACACTCTGTGGTAGGCCAGAGGGAGCTTTCCTGGGAAAGCAAGAGTTGGGTGAGGAGGCCCAGCTGATTCACCCTTGCCTGGTCTCAGCCTGTCTTTAGTTCTCTGTCTGAAAAATGAGGAACTTGGCTCCACAATAGGGTCATCTGGGGAGCTGCTAAAAATGTGGATGTCTGGACCTTATCCCCATAAATTCTGATCAAAACGGCCTGGAGCAAGGACCATAGGCACCGATATTTTCCAAAAGCTCTCAAGTGACTCTAAAGTGCAGCTCAGGGTGAAGGGCACAGGGCAATTCCCACAGCCCATTATGGCCCTAATGTCACCTCATTAGACAAGTGTTCCTCATCAGAGTGATCGATGTGCCTTACGCCTCTCCCTCACAGCACGATTCCAAAACAAACCTAAAACATTTGCCTGGTGACCTGAGCCAGCTCCTCTGGGAGCTTTCCACTTCTAGGAGGAAGCATACATGGCTGGCCTGCACTTAGGGTCTCTAGTCCCCCATGGTTCTCTGAATAGACCAGACATATAAGTGGCACTTTTGAACCTACACTGATGGTATCCACAGCCTGACCTTTTCCACCCTGCTTCAGTGGCTCCCTCCTTCAGGCTCCCATCCAAATGCCTAGAAGTTCCACGGCTCCTCTCTGATCTCTTTGCATGTTTTTCTTTTCATTTGTACTGAGTATGTGGCCCCACTCTGTGAGGTGTTTTCTTCAATCATTCACTCAGCACTGAGTATTGCCATAGGGCAGTCCCTGGATCATAAAATCCTGTTCCAGGAACCCAGAGAAGCCAGTGTTCACATACACTGTTTCAAAAGCATGTGTTGTCATGTTTACACAGCCCAAGATAGTGCTGACTGATCTGGGATCTTCCATTGTTATTTACTTTTGTGTGTGTGGGCCACACACACACGCCACACTGTGAGTGTGCGGGTCAAAGGACAGCTTGTAGGAGTTGGTTCTCCTCCCTGTGTGGGACCCAGGGGTCACACTCAGGTTGTCTGGCTTGGCAGCAGAAGCCTTACCTGCTAAGCCATCTTGCTGGCTGCTGGTCTGTGAACTTCTAAAGGAAGGAAGGGGCAACATGACAGAGGGTCTAGGTAGGAATGTTCCAGAAAGGAGAAATGAAAAGCTTGGGAGAGAAGATGGCGTGTACCAGGGGGGAAGGAGGAAGATGTCTGGTGGGAAGGTGTCTAGGTGCATATCCATTAGGTCTTAGACGTCCTGTTAAGAGCCATGTTGTGTCAGCACTTGGAAGCCGAGGCAGGCAGGTCTCTGGGAGTTCAAGGACAGCCTGGTCTACACAATGAAAGCCTGTCTCAAAAACAAAACAAAGCAAAACCAAAAGAACCTGTGTTGCTGGGCTGGGCGTGGTGGTGCATGCCTTTGATCCCAGCACTCTGGAGATAGTGGCAGGAAGATGTTGGTGAGTTTGAGGCCAATGTGTTCTATCTACATAGAGAGTTTCAGGACAACCAGGGCTACATAATGAGATCCTGTCTCAAACAAACAAGAAACCCAGTGTCATAGGCCAGGCATGGATACGCACCTGTATGTGGTCCAGGCACTTGGGAGCTGAAAGGTAGACAACAAATCAGGAGTTCAAGGTTAGCCTCGGCTGTACGTGAAGCTGCCATGGACTGTGTGAAACCCTGTCTCAAAAAACAAACAAAAAATAGCCATTGTGTTAACGTAAATGTGCAATAGTGAAGACTCACGTAGCCTCATGGTGGGAAGTACATGGATTGAAACAATGAAGTTAGAACTTGTGATTGTCTGCCAAGGTGGAGGAATAAGGATGACACAGATCCTGACAGTGACAGAAACAGGGAGAGTTCTTATTCTAAAGGAAGTTGCTAAGTTTGAGATGTGATCATCAAGTCTGAAGCAGCCAAAGGACAATCGGGTGTAAAATAGCCATACAGTGTAGGACGGAAAGGGATGGGGTGAGCAGCATAGAAATTGTAATCAAGGCCATGAGAGTGGCTGAGATGGAGCAGGGAGACTGTACAGGTAGAGAAGGGAAACCAGGCCAGTGAGAGCTGCAGCATCTCAGCATGGGGACAGTCAGTGCAGGGATAGTGGCAGCCAGTGTGAGGATGGTGACAGCCAGTTTGAGGACCGGGAAATGGTAAGCTTAGCTTTAAGGACCCAGACACAGAATGCATGGCAGAGGGAGAGCACTCATGAGAAGTCAGAAGAAGGGAGCCAAGAGCCTGCGATGGGGTCAGTGCAGAATCACATTGCAGTAGACCGAGAGTCAGGTGTAATAGCTCATGGCTGTAACCCCAGCACTTGGAAGACTGAGGCAAGGATCTGCTGTGAGTTCAAGGCCAGCCTAAGCTATACAATAAGACCCTTTCTGAGGAAAACAGAAGGAAGTGGAGAGATGGCTCAGTGGTTAAGAGTACTTGCTGCACAAAACTGAGGACTGGAATCTGGGATCTTAGTGCACAAGTAACAAGTCTAGTGTCCATCACATGCTGTGACATCAAAGGGGGTGGAGACAAGAGGATTGCTTCCTTGTGGCCTAGAAAACTCCAGCCTGTGGCAACAGAGTTATAGGAAAGGACACCTGAGGCCCTCTTGTGGCCTCTGAGTGTGCTCGCAGGCTTACGTGTGCCTTTGCATGCCCCCCCCCCCACACACACACACATAGACAGCATAAAGAAATAGTTTTAGCTTTTAGTTTTTCAAGTCAGGATCTCTCTACATAGTCCTGGCTGCCCTGGAACTTGTTCTTGTAGACCAGGCTGGCCTCCAACTCAGAAATCTCCCTGCCTCTGCTGGGATTATAGGCTTGTGCCACCACACCCTTCGGAATGGGTTTTTTGAAATCTCAAAGACCACTCCAGTGACACACTTCCTCCAATAAGGCCACACCTCCTCATCTTTCAAATAGTGGCACTCCATGGTGTCCAAGTAAGTATCCAGATCTATGAGCCTTTGAAGGCCATTCTCTTTCAAACCACCACAGCTTTTAAGTGTTGACTCAACCTCTCAAATCTGGAGCTACTGCCACTTGGACAGATTAGTCACTCTCTCTGTTGCTGTGATAGAACGGTATGACCAAGGCTGGGTGGCCTTTAATCCCAGCACTCTGGAGGCAGGCAGGCAGACCTCTGTGAGTTTGAGGCTAGCCTGGTCTACACAGTGACTTCCTGAACAGCCAGAGCTACAAGGGGAAAAAAAATATGACCAAGGCAATTATAGAAGGGAGAGTTTAAGAGTATAAGAGAGAATCCATTAAGGCTGGGAGGTTTGACAATGACGGGCATGGCAGCAGGGGCAGGGCCTAAGTGACCACACCCTCAACCAAAAGCAGGAAGCAGAGTGAACGAATGAAGAAGAAGAGGCTGTGGATTTGAGAAAGGACAAAGTGGCAGGTGCATGAGAGGACTGGAGGGAGAAAGGGAAGGAGGGAATTCACAGAGATCCGCCTGCCTCTGCCTCCCCAGTGCTGGGATTAAAGGTGTGCACAACCACCGCCCGGCTATTCTTTTTGTAATATTTAACATGAACATGGTTGAATGACTGGAGAGAGAGCTCAGTGGCTAAGAACATGCTCTGCTCCTGAGGACTGAATTGGGTTCCCTAGAGCAAGGCTGTGTGGCTCACATTGCCGTAAGTTCGTCTCCCAGGCACCAGGCAACCTCTTCTAGCATCTGCAGGCACATGCACTTACAGTGTGCTAACACACACTCTCTCTCTCTCTCTTTCTCTCTCTCTCTCTCTCAATAAACAATAAATCTTTTTTAAAAATGAGAATTGTCTATCTTTGGTTTGTAATTTTTTGAAACAGGGTGTTGTCCTGGCTTCCTGGAGCTCACAGAGTTCCACCTGCCTCTGCTCTTACTCAGATTAAAGGTATTCAACACCTCAAATGGCTTATTTGGCATTTTAAGTGATCTCTTAGCGCTGAAAAGATGGCTCAATGGTTAAAAGCACTTGTTGGTCTTGCAAAAGCCCCAGGATCAGTTCGCAGCACCTGCATGGTGGCTCACAACCATCCATAACTCCAGTCCCAAAGGGTCTGATGTCTTCTTCTGGGTTTTTGGTCACCAGGTATACATGTGGTACACAGCATGTACACATAGCAAAACTTTTTTTTTTAAACCACTGAATCTTTTAAAATTTCTTTTTATTTATGTGCATTGATGTTTTGCCTGCATGTATGTCTTTATGAGGGTGTCGGGTCCTCTGGAACTAGAATTATAGATAGTTGTGAGCTGCCATGTGGAGACTAGGAATTGAACTTGGGTTCTCTGGAAGAATGGCCACTGTTACCCACTGAGACATCTCTCCAGCCCTAACAAAACACTCTTACACATTAAGTAAATCAGAAAAAAAAAAAAGTAATCTCTTTATAGTTACAACAGTGAAATTAACATTTTTCTTGGTTCTTTGGTCTACAGGCTCAGAAAAAGTGTTTGACCCAGCCCTCTCCCCTTCCCACGGCCAAGACCACAGACGGCCTGAGGCAATCACAGATCCCTGGGCTCTTGAGCACAGCACTGCCAGGTCAGATGGCTTTGCGGGTGTTTGCTGCAGTCTGCCCCAACCCCAATTCCTGAAATATGAGCTTCTCGCCTCCCTGTCTTCACCAGTTCTTCCTGAATCTCACCTGGTCTCTGAATTCGCCCTGTCAGCCCTTTTCTCTGTACCCTTCCCACCCAACAAATAGAACGTGTTCCCAAGGCTACGGGGTTCCATCAGTTGTGAGTAGGTCATTTAGCATACCACTCAGAAGAAAAAAAGCCCTTCTAAATTACGAGACAATAAATCATATAGAAAAATGTGCTTTTGGGCTAGAGAGATGGCTCAGCCGTTAAAGGCTAGGCTCACAACCCAAAATATCAGAAAAGGGTGCTTCTAGGAAGTGTTGAGCGAGCACGCGGAACTTGGGAATTGCCCCATGTTGCTATGTGCATGTGTGTTCAGACAACCCACTCCCCAAACTGGAAACTGTAGGTTGTAACCTTTCTTAAGATGCTTAACACCTGCTCAACCCATTTGTACTTAGAGTAAAAGCAGCCTTTTGCCTATGACTGTATAGTAACTGCTCTTACCTGCTCAATACATGACCAAATATGGGAGCCAGAACATCCTTCTGAGTTTCCCCTCAGGGCCTCCTCCTAGCAGGAGAATTTTGGAGCTCTGAAGTACTGAGGTCTATTTCTCAGACCATAGACAACTGAAAACCACATGCAGCATTTGCAGTGCTATTGATTACTATGGATTTAGTTGGTTCTATTTATCGCCTACTCAAGAGTTTAACACCACCTGCCTCTGCCTCCATAGCTAATAAATCAGAGTGTCTCCCTGCTCCCTTCCCCCCAACAGACATCCCTTTCAGGCTGGGTGTGGTGGTCCATGCCTCTAATTCCAACACTCTGGAGGCAGAAGCAGGAAAATCTCTCTGTAAATTCAAGACCAGTCTGGTCTACTTAGTAAATTCCAGGCCAGCCAGGGGCTACATAGTGAGATCTTGTCTCAAAATAACAAAAAAAAAAGAAAGAAGTCCCTTTCAGAATGCATATGCTGGACCAGACTGACTGTCTCTGATAAGCAGTGTCTTCTCCATTCATCCTAATAGGACAGGATTCTGGAAGCAAAGTTATGCCAGCATCCTTGGGGACCGCACAGCCACAGCAGGAAAACACAGTTGGATCATCCCCTAGCCAGACAACTGTGCAGGTAGGAAACTGTTGGCATGTTTGCAATGGTCCTTCATGGCTTTAACCGAATGACTACGTAGTCTCAAGGGGCTTTGTGGTTGGTGTCCAGCACTGTGCACATAGCCAGCCTGTCTCCAAGTGCATGTATTCATATGGGCGACAATGAAGATGTCCCAGGAGGCCAGGCCTGGTCACATCAAGTTGATGAATCTTTCTCAACTATTCCTGACATGTTTCTGGTGCCTCATGAGTCCATTATAGATCAAGGACTGGATGTGTGGAGTACTTGCCTAGTGTGTGCAAGGCCCTAGATTTGATATCTAACAGTGGTGCGCGCACACGCACACACACACGCATACCTCAGCACACCTCAGTAACGTACACATATTAAACACTAAAAAAAGGTAAATAGCGGGGCGTTGGTGGCGCACGCCTTTAGTCCCAGCACTCGGGAGGCAGAGGCAAGTGGATCTCTGTGAGTTTGGGGCCAGCCTGGTCTCCAGAGCAAGTGCCAGGATAGGCTCCAAAAGCTACACAGAGAAACCCTGTCTCGAAAACCAAAAAAACAACAACAGCAACAACAACAACAACAAAAAAAAAAAATAGAAGGAAAAAAAAGGGTAAATAAACTACTTACCAGGTTGTGAGTTTTCCTAGCTAGCATTGTCAACTTGACAGCAGTTAGTCATCTGATAGGAAAGCCTTGACTAGGGGATTGCCTCCCTCAGGCTGGCCAGTGAGCTAAGTCTGAACTAGAGAATAGCCAGCAAGCAGTGTTCCTTCACAATTCCTGCTAGTTCCCACCCTGCCTTCCTTCAATGAGGGACAGTGGCCTGAGAGTGCAAGCCAAATAAATCCTTTTCTTCCCTAATTTGCTTTGGCTCGGAGATCTTACCAAAGCCATAGAAAGGAAGCTAGAATAGGGCTATAGCTCACTTGCAAAGCAGTTGCCTAGTATGAGCAAGGCCTTGGGATTGATCCCCAACAGTGATACACACACACACACACACACACACACACACACACACACAGGTAGCCAGCATATGCAGACACTTAGAAAGCTGCACTCATAGGGTTGGGGATTGTAGTTCTCTTGTTATTGCTGGGACAAAATACTTGACAAAGCAACTTAAGGAGAGAAGGGGAGTTTTGGCTCACACTTTGAGAGCGCAGGCCCTTAGGGAGGGAAGTCATGACAGCAGGGATGTCAAGCAGCAGACCAGAGTTGTAACTGCAGTCAGGAAGCAGGATGAGTGCTGGTGCTCCCCTGGTGTCCTCCTACTCAGCCACTCACAGTCAGGGTCTGCCTTCACACCTCAACCCTCACAGATGAGCACAGAGGTTCCTTTCTGAGGGGTTTTAGATCCTCTCCAGTTGACAGTCAGTAGTAACCATCACAGGGATGTAACTTAGTAGCTAACATTTGTCTGACATGTGCAAAGCCCAGGGTTCAATCCCTAGCACTGTACAAAGGAAAAAAATCACAGCAGTCATTGTGTCAGAAGAGGTTCTGTCTTCACAAATGTGTGATCAAACTGATCTATACAATGAATTCCAGGACAGCTAGGGGTTCCGTAGCAAGACTCCCAAAACAAGCAAAGTGGGATGGGTATTTGCTCTGTTTTGTCTGTCTATAAGGACCAGTCGTGAATGCATGAAATAGGCCGTTTCTGTGGTCTTTGACCCACCTTTGTACCGAGTGACTCTCAAGGCATTTCAAACTAGTGCTCTTAAAAAGAAAGGGAGCTATTTTTGTCTGGCTTTCTAACATCTTGGTTTCTCCCACTAATTTGCTGAATAATAGCTTACTGAGAGTTGCTATTCAGCTTTCTGTAGACCTAACCCTGGTACTCTTGGCCATACTTGCTTGCTTAGGTTTTCAGCAGGACACATTTTGAAGTTTTACTTAGCTGACAGCTAATGGGAAACACTTGGAGCATAGCAACCTTTCTGTAACTGTATATTATTTTATAATTTTGCCTGTGTTTTATTATTAGGTGGACAGTCATTCGGGACAGAAAAGGCCTGCCACCAAACAGCTAACTAAAGGAGCTTTGTAAGTTATACTTTGAAAGGAAAAATTAATTCTTGGTTTTTCTCAGGGTATCTTAGGGTCCCTTGTTTTCACTAAACACACCATACACCTCACTATAATAGTGAGTTTGTTAGCTTTTTCCTTTTTTTTTTTTTAATTTATTTATTTTGGTTTTTCGAGACAGGGTTTCTCTGTGTAGCTTTGGAGCCTATCCTGGCACTCACTCTGGAGACCAGGCTGGCCTCAAACTCACAGAGATCCGCCTGCCTCTGCCTCCCGAGTGCTGGGATTAAAGGCGTGAGCCACCAACACCTGGCATTTGTTAGCTTTTTTTTTTTTAATTAATTTATTATATATACAACATTTTGCTTCCATATATATCTGCACACCAGAAGAGGGCACCAGATCTCATAATGGATGGTTGTGAGCCACCACGTGGTTGCTGGGAATTGAACTCAGGACCTCTGGAAGAGCAGCCGGTGCTCTTAACCTCTGAGCCATCTCTCCAGCCCTTGTTAGCTTTTTTTTTAAAATGTGTTTTGAAGCTGGGCAGTGGTGGGGCACACCTTTAATCCCAGCACTCTGGAGGCAGAAGCAAGCCCATCTCTGTGAGTTCCAGACCAGCCTGGTCTACAAGAGCTAGTTCCAGGACAGTCTTCAAAGCCACAGGGAAACCCTGTTTCGAAAACAAAACAAAACAAAACAAAGTGTGTGAATGTCTCGTACCTTTAAATCCCAGCACATGGGGGACAGAAAGAAGTGTATCTCTGGGTTTCTGTGAGTTCCAGACCAGTTTGGTTTTCACAGTGACACCCTGTCTCAAAACACATTTTTAGGAAATTTATGGTTGCTCCACAAGCATGAGATGAGGGTGCAGTTCTGACCCATGTCAAACAAGCCAGGACAGCAGCCGGCCCTCTAATCCCAGACTAGAGGCAAACACAGGTCTGGGAGTCTCTGGGCAGCCCAGCCTGCTTCACTGGTTATTGGCAACTGAGACAACTGGCCTCAGAAAAAACAAGGTGGGGGGCCCATGAGAACTCTGCTAGGGAAAGGCGGAAGGAGATGCCTGCCTTGTGCAGGGTGTCCGCTGACCTCTACCCGCCGACCTTGATGCATGTGTACTGTGCAAATCTTTTCCTACAGTTTGCTCTCTTCAGGACCTGTAACTAGAGGAGGTTAAGTGAACTGTTTGCTCTTCTGGTCTGGCAGAGAATGCCTCTGTCTCTGTGAGCAACCACACACTGACACCTGGTGGAAAGATTGGGAATTTGATTAGGGTCATAGCAGTAAGAGATGGAGTAAAAGTGTGGAAAATTCAATGCGCCACTCGACTGTAGAAATGGCATTGCTAATAAACGGTTTGACTAATTGATTTCCTGGTGTGTGACCTTACCTGGACACTCGCTGCTTCCCTTTAAAGCATCCTCCAGCAGTTACAGAGGGACCAAGCCCATGCTGTGACACCTGATAAAAGCCAGTTCCGGTCACTAAGTGACACAGTGCAGAGACTGCTCTCCTACCATGTGTGCCAGGGCTCCACACCCACAGAGGAAGATCTGAGGAAAGGTGAGCAACCAGGGCCCTGGAGCACAGCTGGGGCCATAGCCGCCCTCCCACAGCTCCCTGATGGGTAGACAGGTGGCCCTCTTACCATTTGTTTCCTGTTTACTCAGTACCCCAGCCCGTGAGTAGGGCTGTGGCTTGTTCCTCTATTCCACGAAGGGGATCTTCAGATGTTGACATAGGAGCAGCAGTGAATGGAGGCACCATTGAGGCTGCTGCTCACTGTAAATGAATGGCTTTCTTTTGCAGTGCACACGAACTTAACCCTTGCTGTTGTACCTGGTCCAGGAACTAGTTAGCTCCCTGAGGTCCCAAAACAAGTCTAAGGCATTGTCTGAATTTCAGAGAACTGACAAAGTTAGGGACAGGCCCCTTCTCCAACCCAAGAGCCCTACCCGTCCTGGTGCCTGTGCCTGTGATCTGTCTGAGTCCAGTAGCAGGGACTGGTGCCACCCCACCTTCTCTCCCGCTGCAAGCCCTCGGTGATCTCATCTTCCTCCTCTGCCACTGGTCTTGATTCTTCCAGGGCCTCTGATCTCATAGTTAAATGCTATCTCCCAAAGCACTGGGGCTCCCAGGGATGAGAGGCTTCCAGAGTCAACAGTAAACAGCTGTGAAGAGTCTGAGAAAGAGTGAATTGGAAAATGTGACATTTCTTGAGACTAAAAGTCAAAACCCAGAGCCACAGATCATGACCAGCAAGGGGTCGTGGACTGTTGTGTGTCTTCCCAGCCACACAGTCAGATCTGACTTGTTCAGCTCTTTCTGTCCCCCTGCTTCTGGGAGGAACAGAGCTGAGGGAACCAGCTCATCAGCTCTGTCCAGTGCTCTTCTGTTGTTGGTTGTGTTTATTCTTTTTATACTCTTTATTCTTTTGGAGGGGGCTGCCACCCAGCTCCCAAATAAATACACATGGAGGCTTAATCTTTCTTATAAATGCTTGGCCTTAGTTTGGCTTATTCTAGCCAGCTTTTCTTTTCTTTTTTTTTGTTTTTTGTTTTTCGAAACAGGGTTTCTCTGTGTGGCTTTGGAGCCTATCCTGGCACTCGCTTTGGAGACCAGGCTGGCCTTGAACTCACAAAGATCCGCCTGCCTCTGCCTCCCGAGTGCTGGGATTAAAGACCTGAGCCACCAACGCCTGGCCTAGCCTGCTTTTCTTAAATGATCCTATCTTCCTCTTGCCTCTGGGCTTTTGTCTTTCTCTCACTTGTCTATCTTACTCTCACTCTTACTCTATGGCTGGCTGGCCCCTAGCATACTCCTCTCCTTGTTCTTGTTCCTCCATGTCTCCTCCTAGATCTCTTTATTCTCTCTGCCTGCCAACCCCGCCTATCCTTTCTCCTGCCTTGCTATTGGCCATTCAGCTCTTTGTTAGAACAACCAGATGTTTAGACAGGCAAAGTCACACAGCTTCACAGAGTTAAACAAATGCAACATATCTTTGCATCATTAAATAAATGTTGCAGGGCGTAAACAAATGTAACACATCTTAAAAAATATTCTACAACAGTGTTCCATCCTGGCCTGCTTACAGCAGTGATAATATGCTGTTGGTTTCCCAGGCTGTGTCAGAGTGAGTTGCCTACCACACACAATGCAGGGACGCCAGGCATCTATCTGCAGGATGCTTAAGCAGAGAGACGCTAAGCTAATGAGGATATCCCTAGAAAATCCTTGTTATGGATAGGCTGTGGGAATGAGTCCTTGCCAGTCTCAGCAAACAGACCAGTCTCTCTTACCATTTTCTCCCTCTTTTTTTTTTTAAAGTGGACAATGAATTTGAAGAAGTCGCAACTCAGCTCCTCAAAAGGACCCAAGCGATGCTGAACAAATACAGATTCCTGCTCCTAGAAGATGCCATGGTAAGATGATGCCGACCCAAGGCACAGAGGAGGTTCAAGAACTTCCACACAGCGAGCATAGGAAGAGAAATGTTTAAGGTTGCAGGATAGCTTCACACTTAGCCATCACTGAGAGTGATAATAGCAGATGTCATTGACAACCATTTCTGATAAAAAAACCTCTGAGCCATCCAATAAGACTAGCTCACCAGACATGGTGGCACACACTTTTAATCCCAACCCTCAGAGGCAGAGGTGGGTAGTTCTCTGTGAATCAATCCAAGGCTAGCCTGGTCTGCATACTGAGTTTGAAGCTAGCCAAGCTTACATAGTGAAACCATAGCTCTAAAAACCAGCTCTAGCCAGGTGGTGGTGGTAGAGTCAGATGGATCTCTTCGAGTTCCAGGACAGCCAGAAGTATAAAGAGAAACCCTGTCTCAAAAAACTAAAATAAGTAAATGAATGAATGAATGAATGAATGAATAAATAAATAAATAAAAAACAGTTCTATCATTTGAGAAGAGGCTACTTACAACTGGGGGTAGCTCATGACTATAATTCCAGCAGGTGGAAAGCTGAGGCAGAGTGATGGACACAAGTTTGAGGCCAGCCTAGGCTTCGTGGGACTTTGTCTTAGAACAGTAGCAAATGTAATGACTTCCTGTTTGTACCACATGGGTGACAGTGGAGCTCTGGAGTGTCTAGGTGCCAACCTCTCATTACTTCATTTAGTGACAAACAGTGGTCACTGTCCCTTGATAAAAGTGTCTGAAGTGACTGGCTCTCTTCTTTTCAGAGGATCAACCCCTCTGCTGAGATGGTGATGATTGACAGGATGTTCAACCAGGAGGAAAGAGCTTCCCTGTCTCGGGACAAGCGGCTGGCGCTCGTGGATCCTGGTAAGGATCATCAGGGTACATACAGGTCCTGGAGGACAGCTGTGGTAGTCCCTGAGCAGTGTGACCAATTAGCTTGATAATTTAGTGCACTCATTTCCCTGTGGTAGTACTGCTTTGACTTTATTCTTCCTCCAATGTCTTATCTTTTCCTTTTTTACATTTTTAAACTTGTATGTATATGAGTGTTTTGCCTACATATATGTATGTATGTGTACCACATTCACACCTGGTGCTCACAGAGCCCAGAAGAGGGTGTCAGATCCCCTGGACCTGGAGTGGTGCTGGGAACCAAACAACATCCTCTGCAAGAGCAGCCAGTGCTTCTAATAGCTGAGCCACCTCTCTAGTCGCCCCCCCCACACACACATTTTTACTTTTAGTTTTTGTTGTTATTTTGATTGTTTATTTATTGAAACAAAGTTTCACTCTGCAGCTCAGACTATGCCAGAATTCATGATATAGCACAGACTGGCTTTGAACTCATTGTAATCCACTTGCCTCAACCTCCCCAGTGCTGGGATTACAGGCAGGAGCCACCATGCCTAGCTCTTGTTTATTTTTTTTTTAATTTCTTTTTATTAGTTCAAGTTAGGGGCTCTTGTTTATTGATACTTAAATATTAAGTTTGTGCTTTAGTCTTGCCTTGGCTCAGAAGGGTTACAAATATAATGTGTGGACTGATAGTCTAAATACTGTGTATGTACCAGGAGCCTCACACCCTTCCCCAAAACGAAGACATTGGAGGATCTGTTTCTGTCCTGTTTCTGAGAAACTGAAATCTCTACCTTTCATAAATTAGCTTGTGATAACCATGCCACTTTGTCATATGTTGTCACACCCCTCATTCATGAGCAGGGCCTGTACGTGGTCTGTCAAATGGAGTCCTTTTTACATTTTAGCCTCTGTCCCCGCAGCTCACATCTGGAAGTGTGCTGTGATCCGTGCATCCTGTTGAGTTTTGTAGACGAAATCGCTCCTTCCCTCCTTAGTCCTGCTGCTGTAGCCTCTACCTGAACTACCTGAAGTCTTCACAAAGGCTTCTTTTGTCATCACCCAGACATGGCCCCTCCATGCCCTGATGTCCTTCCAAGCAGATACCATTTTGTGTGCCTTTTTGCCATTGGTTTTATGATCTGGGACAAGTGATGGAGCCCTCACACCTGCCTGTAAGCATGTTACCCTGAGACACGGTGTGTCCAACCCCCTTGCCACTGCTCTAAGGAAGGAAGCAGGGTAAAGCCATAACTTTTCTTTTTTTCTTTTCTTTTTTTTTTTTTTTTTTTTTTTTTTTTTTAGGGTTTCTCTGTGGCTTTGGAGGCTGTCCTGGAACTAGCTCTTGTAGACCAGGCTGGTCTTGAACTCACAGAGATCCACCTAGCCTCTGCCTCCCTAGTGCTGGGATTAAAGGGTTGCGCCACCAACACCCAGCTGCCATAACTTTTATTTTCAAAACAATCCATTAACAAAAGAAAAATGGGGAGGGAGCGTGTGTCTCTCTTGGTAGTGTTACATCCAAAGTACCACCACCAGAGTCTATTTCCTCCATCCATCCAGAGCTACTGCAGGAGCAGAGCAGGACAGACCCCGAGTGGTGAGGGAAGGGGTTCTTTATAAAGGGGAAGACTTGGGGAATTCCAAGCCTTGGGGCTTGTGATTGGCTGCACCTCCTGGGGTGAGGGGAATTCCAAGTCTGCAGGCTTGGGATTGGCTGACCCCTCGGGGCTAAAGTCTGGAAAAGGTCATGGTATGTCTAGGCTAGAGGTTACTACTTTACTACTCAGGGAGTGGTCAGTTTTCCTGCTCAGGGAGTGGTCAGTTTTCCTGCTCAGGGATTGATCAGTTTTGTGTCAAGGGCAGAAATGGCTCTGATTTCAGGGCCAAACTGTGTTTCTTTCTCTGGTCCCTTTTAGCTTTTAAGCTCCAATTTTAGGGCCAGGGCACATTTCTTTAACTGGCTCTGATTGTAGGGGCAAAATGTGTTCTTTTGGCTCTGGTTTTGGAGTCAAAGTGTTTTTCTCTAGCGCTGAGTTCAGAGATAAAGTGTTTTTCTCTGGCTCAGGTTCCAAATCCAGGGAGTGTTTCTTTCACTGACTTGGCTCAGGGCCAGGCTTGTACTAGGGTTACGGGTTAGGATCATAGATCTGCTGGGCCTGGGCCCCAGTAGAATGCCTCCTTTGCATGCACAAAGCCCTGGGTGAAGTTTTCTAAGTGGAAGCTGGCCCCAGAACCTTGCTTGCTTTGAGAAGATGCTTCTTGGTTAAATTGCCTCTTCGTGTTTCTGTGGAAGTCGTGCTGTGGGTGGGCCGGAGGACCAGCAGAGGGGAAGGGACCCTGCTGAGGAACAGTCCTCTGCTCCCAGTTAGGAGGGTTTGTCTACGGTAGTCCTCACTCTGACAGTTAACGCTCTTTCTGATCTCATTCCCAGAGGGTTTTCAGGCCGATTTCTGTTGTTCCTTCAAAGTTGACGAGGCCGCACCTGAGGCACCACTTGACAGGAGTGACCAGCATCGCAGCAAAACCAGCTCGCTGCATCAGGCGCCCAGGAGCCAAAGCAGAGACCGACCCAAGGCAGGCATGGCAGAAGCAACGAATCATGACCAGTTTCATCTAGTGCCTAACCACATCGTGGTCTCTGGAGAGGGAAGCGTTTCTAAAAAGTCAGAAGGCCATGGTAGGACACTGAAATATGACAAAGGGGGCTTAGGCCAATACCGGGGTGCACCTGAGGACAAGGGCAGCCGGAGGGACCCGGCCAACGCCAGCGGGTGCTCTCCAGGCCCCGAGGGCCACCGCAAGACTATGCCCAGGCCAGATCATGGCCCCGAGAGCAAGCTCCCGGGCATCCTGGCCAGTGCGCACCTGGAGATGCCGTGCCTCGACTCCTTCCAGGACAGAGCCCTGAGGAATTCCCCAAAGAATGAGGTTTTACACACAGACATCATGAAAGGGTCAGGTGAGCCCCAGCCGGATCTCCAGCTCACCAAGAGCCTAGAGAAAACCTTTAAGAACATTCTGGAACTCAAGAAGGCGGGACGGCCACAGAGCGACCCTGCGGCCAGCGGCGCCATGGACCTTGACTTCCCCAGCTTTTCTCCAATGGCTTCGCAAGAAAACTGCCTGGAAAAGTTCATCCCAGACCACAGTGAAGGCGTTGTAGAAACGGACTCCATTTTAGAAGCAGCTGTAAATAGTATCCTTGAGTGTTAGTAGCAGCCGTCCTCCCCCAGACCCCACCCCGGACCAGTTACATTCGCTCCCAGCAAAGCAAATGGAAACGTCTCCTGTCTCCAGCCTGCTTGGTCCTCCATCACAGGTTATTCTTTCTAATCTCGACCCTGTTCTTTTGAAGAGCAATACACGTCATCGTGGCTGCAGGGAGACCCCTCAGTAAACCCACCTCTCCCTAGAGAGCAGTCCGATAGGCCCTACACATTTCAAGTGTTAGGAAAGTGCTTATGGCCATTGTTGTTCGTTCATTTGTTCCTAGTTTGTTTGTTTGTTCAGCACCTGTCACTCGATGAGACCGCAGTACACTGGGCCCTGGGTAAAATTTTGACAATCATAAGTCATTTCAAAAGAACGGACTTATTAAAGAAAAATCAAACAGGACTGATAGAAGCTACTTTTTTAAAGAATGTCTCACTGCAGCTCCAAACTAGTGGTTTTGTTTTTGTTTGGGGGAAAAGGGTGTTTGTGAAGGGAAGTCCACGTGACTCTCCTCCTTGCTCAATGCTCTCTGAGCAGTGGGGAGCCAGTTGCTCTGCCTGGAGCCCCACAGCCCTGGCCTGAGACGTGTCTGTAGCAAATATGCAGAGCATTTGTAGGCCTTCCCTCTTGAACATCCGAGTGTTTACGTGATGCTGCTGAAACAAAACCTTTTTTTATGTTTAGCACATCCATGTTGAATTCCGAGAACGTCTATTCTTAGCCCCCTGGTATGCAGCTTAGTTCTCTGGGCTCAGTAGGGAACAATGGGAACCAGTTCAGAATCGGCGGGCTGGGGAGGCTGCTGCATTATATAATCCGGTGAAGTCAACATACCTTGTGTTTGTGATTGTTGCTGAATTGTTTGTTTAACCTCTTTGTCTCCTCGTCCTCAGCAAATAGCCAAGCATCAAGAGTGCTGTCACTTGAAACCTTTTTCAGTTTAAACTTTTTAAGGGGACTTTGGCCTTGTTTATGCTTCCTGCTTCTGAGAACAGTAGTCAACACTGGCATTGGTCATTCCACCACAGTAAACCAAGGGCAACAGCCTGCATGCCACCACCAGAAAGAGCGGGGGACCCCCCCACGTGGGTGGCCTACGTTTGAGCCTTCTGTTTTGTTTGTATTCTTTTCGGGAATGCTCCCCACTTTCCCTTCTTGTGGGCCTGTCCCAGGGCATGATGCTTCTGTTGCTTCTTTCATTCTTCATGTCATATAAACCATTGCTGGGAAAGCCAGGTCATGGTGCTGTGTGTTTGCACACTGTTCTCCTGCCACACCACCCACCTGTCTGACCCTGTGGGATCTGTGAGGGCTTTCGTCCTCTGTTCACCCCCCTGGCTGGATAAATGCATCCATTGATTTCCACTTCATTGGATCCCCAAAATGGAGTTGTCCCTATGGTCATCATGTTGACTGTTTCTTTTCCAGATTGGTCTGCAGTGGAAAGGAAGGCTTTTGATTTTTTCTTTTTCAAATAACACAGCAACAATCTAGGCATGTTGGCACACACCTGTAATCCCAGCAGTCACGTGGCTGAAGCAGGAGAGTCAAGAGTTCAAAGCCAGCTTGGGCTACATAAATACACCCGTCTTAAAAGCAAAACAAAAGAAATCAAGCAACAGCAGACTGTATGTTCCCTTTCTACCCCACTGTCCATCCACTACATAAAGAACCCCGTGAGTCAGCCAGTCTTCAAGAGAGCAGTGTACCTTCTCCCAGCTCACAGCCTAGCCAATCGAAATAGTTACCCTTTTCCTTATTTGTGCCAATGTCCAAGTTGCTGGCTTCCTTCCTGTATTATAACACGTTAGAAAGATGAGTTGTTTGCCAGTTAGAACTCTCTGTTTGGGCCACCCTGGGCTAACAGCCTGCCCTGATCCCTCTGACATCACAGGCTCTTCTCATAGCCTCATGGTTGCCTAATTCAAGATGGCCCCTGGATGTCTGCACATGGCTACTATGAATTACATTAATTATTGCAAATCAGTGGAATTCTTGAAACAAGAAAAGTCTTGTGTATATTTGTTACCAATTTCCTCCCCCTCCAGCCCTTCTCCCCCAACCTTAGCTTTCCTATATGTCAAATCACAGGGCTTCTAAGTCCTAGCATTGGTCCCACAAATGGAAAGCCTAACGTACCAAAATGAAACTTGTAAATTTTTGTGTCTTTGTATGTAAGTTTACTTTTTAACAGAGGAAAGACTCTAGATAATGACAAATGAAGATTACAAAATGTATTTTACTCCTGTGATTAGGTTACACCATGTGGGTGAGAACTCATGTGTGAGCCCCCTCTGCTGAAGGAAAGCACCCTGCCTCAGTGGCCAGCATCTGGTGGTTCAGGTTCATTAGTCAGTTGAGTCCTTGTGCTCAGTAACAAAAATCACTTTTTCTTTTCTTTGTTTTTAATCTGTTTGTTGTTGTGGGAAAGTATGGATTTGTTATTACGCATTGATTTTCTGTGTCCTTAAGTACTGCCTAAAGATGAAGCAAATTTTGAACTGGCAATTACGAAAAGGAAATCCTTTCGCTCTGGAGAATTTAGTAGACTCTGTTAGATTAGGGAGGCCTCACAGGCTGGCCGGCTCAGAGGACGGTCACTCACTGTCAGTGTGGTGTGGGCTTCATTTGCTTAAATACCTTCATTTGTATAGTATGTCTCACTTGAAATTGCTTTGTATACATTTTGTAAAAATATTTATAAAATGTTTTGTAAAAAAAAAAAGTATAACAAATTGCAGTTTATTTTGTTATGTTGGATAAATACTGTTAAACCAGTCAGTACCTATATTGTTAATCCATGGTTAGGAAATGTTCAGTTGGAGATTACAAAATGAAACAACCATTGCAATACAGCCAAAGATTTGGGAAAATGTGTAACTGTGATTGTCTTGATTTTGCAACTAGGAATGGCTCCTATCCCCAGAAGAAGAGGGTAAGTGTTCAGTGGGATTCTGTGTAGATATATTTAACATGATCCAAAAAGCCTTCAGTGAGAGGACAGGATCTCAACTCATCTGCTTCTCTACAGTGACAGATTAAACAAAGTTGGTGAGTGAAGTTGGTCACGTACATGTTGGGTCTCCCTCCCCACAGGTCACTTGGGTCCTTTTCTGAGGAAAGGACAGTGGGAATCATTTAGGATGGTATCAGTGAGCCTATGCAGGAAGCTGGCTTTTTTTGTTGTTAGTTTGTGTTCAGCAGTTATGTTTATTTTGTTTTTGCAGAGGCAAGTAGAAAGCTAAGGGATAATAAATGATCTCACTTAACATTTTAGAATGAACACCTTTCTCTTTGGTTCCTAAACTAACCAGATTGTAATGAGAACACATCCTAAGATCCTCTCTAACATCAGCCCTGGGGGGCCTTCTGAGTTCCTTCCTTCACAAATGTGACTAGACCCACAGACCTTTTCCCCTCTGGGGGCTTAGAATTTACACTCATACTCCTTGAGGGATCTAGAAGTAAAAGTTGGGCACTGTGTGCTCAGGAACACAGCTCTGTTAATAAAGTGCTTACCTACCTCGAACTAAGTCCTGGGTTTGATCCCCACCACACAAAACCTAGGCATAGGGATACCTGCCTGTTAGCCCCCTAGACACAGAAGCTGAAGGCAAGAGAATCAGGAGTTCAAGGTCATCCTTAGCTGTACAGCTAAAGACCTTCCTGTGCCCCACGAGGCCCTGCCTCAAAAATAAATAAATAAATAAATAAATAGTCTACAACTAGGATGTTATTCTCATAGTCCTGGTAGAGGTTGCACTGTCACAGAGTGGACACAATGTGGTGGAGTGGGCAGGTCCTTGGGTGTGATTTAGTGTCACCTTGAGGTTATGTTTCTCTGCATGCCAAGTGTTATGTGTGTACCCAACAGCACCTTATGGCCCCTGTTCAGGCCCTTTGCACTGGGCAAGGCCCCAAGAATGAAGCTTTAAAGAGGCTGCAAAGATGACTCAGCAGCTGAAAGCACTGGCTGTCCTTCCATGGGGCCACAATTCTAGCACCTGTGTTGGATTGCTCGAAACCATTTGTGACTCCAGGTGTAGGGGATCTGATGCCATGTAGCCTCCGCAGGTGCAATGCACGCGCGCGCGCGCACACACACACACACACACACACACACACACACACACAAATCATTAGAGCATGTTGACAGAGCCAGGGAGGCAGAAGCAGGTGGATCTCTGTGAGTTTGAGACCAGTGAGGTCTATATGAAAAAACAACAACAAAAAATTTAGAAAATAAGCTGGGCAGTGGTGGTGGCACATGCCTTTGATCCCAGTACTCGGGAGGCAGAGGCAGGCGGACCTCTGTGAGTTAGAGACCAGAATTCTGGAATTCCCTGGTCTACAAAAGGGAATTCCAGAACAGGCTTCAAAGATACACAGAGAAACTCTGTCTTGAAAAAGAAAAGAAGAGAGAGAAGAGAGAGAGAGAGAAATGGTAATACAGGACTAGAGAGATGACTAAAAAATAAGAACATTTGCTGCTATTCTAAAGGACCTGAGTTTGCTTCCCAGCACCCAAATGGTGGCTCACTGCTGCCTGTAACTCTAGTTCCAGGGTATCCCAACCCCTCTTCTGGCCTCCAAGGGTACCAGACAAACATAGTACACAGACATACACATAAAATAAAAATAATTTTTTAAAGAAAATAATATGGGAGCTGCTGGAGAGATGGCTTGGAAGTTAAGACCACTGGCTGCTCTTATAGGGGTCCTGAATTCAATTCCCAGCACCCACATGGTGGCTCACAACCATCTATAATGAGATCTGGTGCCCTCTTCTGGCGTGCAGGCAGAACATTGTATACATACATAATAAATCTTTTTTAAAAAAGAAAGAAAATAATATGGAGTTTGAGAGAGAGTTCAGTAGTTAAGAGCACTGGCTGCTCTTCCACCGGACCCAGGTTCAAATTCCAGCAGCCATATTGCTCACATTCACAGTACCTCCAGCCTCAGGGCCTCTGAGGGTACTAGGCATGCAGTGTGCACAGACATACTTGAATACAAAACACCCATACACATAAAATAACAATGTAGTAAATCTTTTAAAAAGGAAGGCTCTGCGTTCCCTTGGGGCATGCCCAGAGGCAAATCGGGGGTTTCTGTTAAGATAGTGACAGCTTCAGTCTGGTAGGAGGGTCATGTACCAGAAAATGGCATCCTGGTACTTCCTGATGCAAAGAGAACAGCCAGTGTGGGCTACTGGGGGAAAGAAACATTAATAGGAAAGATGGAAACTTCCTCTGCAGCTGGGGACCCTGGCACCAGGTGTGCTGTCCTGTAGGGAGTAGGCCCTGGACTCCAGGGTATGGCTGTGCCTCAGCTCTGCATTCTCTTCAAGACAGAAGTAGGGCTTCTCTGGTGCCCAGCTGAAGAGGAGTTAACCAGCAACCACTTCTTTTTTGTTTTGTTTTTTGAGACTGGGTCTCTCTGTGTAGCTTTGTAGCCTGTCCTGGAACTAGATCAGGCTGGTCACAAACTCACAGAGATCAGCCTGCCTCTGTCTCCCTAGTGCTGGGATCAAAGGGTATGGGCCACCACCACCTGGCTTAGCAACCACTTCTTAGCAGACACTGTATAACAGCTCTGAGGAGAAAGGTTTCCCCACTGTAAGTGTTACAGCTCTGGGGCAAAAGGTTCCCCACCACCACTCTGTGTTACAGCTCTGAGGGGAAAGGTATCCTTGATGTTGGGATCCAGGGAGTGCCACAAAGTCACAATGCACAACAAACTACACAGATTTATTGGGAAAGACACAAGAGGGTGGTGGCCTCTGCTCAGGAGAGAAGCAAAAAAAAAACTGGGCAGGAGGCAGGCTTTATATACGGCCTCTCTGGGGTGTTTTCCAGGATGAATTTTCCAGGGTAAGGATTGGTGGGTTTTCAAGTTCTGAGTTTGGGCTTTTTATTCTGCAGGGCAGAGCTTGGTCACCTGTGTCTCAAGGGGCTGAGTCTGGCTATTTTGGCCATTAGAGTGTTCTATGGAAAGACCATGGCAGTTGGAGTTCCTTCGAGACAGGGCTCAGTCTTACATTCTCCCATTTTTTTGGTTTATTATTGATAAACTGGGGGGGGGTGGTGGTGCTATCATTAGACTATGTCCTGCTGAATGGGGCAAGTTTGATCTTCACTGTCAAGGTATAATCTGGAGTTTCAGGCCTCTAGCTCCATAGCTAAAGTTCAGTAATCCTGAACTTTAATCAGAAATAGCAACTGATTAAAAGTTTGGTTAGAGCTAGTAATCCCACTACTCAGGAGGCAGAGACAGGCAGATCTCTGTGAGTTGGAGGCCAGCCTGGTCTCCAGATTGAGTGCCAGTACACTCTCCAAAGCTACACAGAGAAACCCTGTCTCGGGGGGGGGGGGGAGGGAAGGTGGTGAACATCTTTAATCAGGAGGCAGAGGCAGGGAGGATCTCTGTGAGTTTGAGGCCAGCCTGGTCTATAAATCGAGTTCCAGTACAGCCAGGACTGTTACACAGAGAAACCCTGTGTGGAAAAAAAAAAAGAAAGAAATTAAAGTGTGAACCGGTGTTGGTGGCACACGCCTTTAGTCCCAGCACTCGGGAGGCAGAAGCAGGCAGATCTCTGTGAGTTCGAGGCCAGCCTAGTCTCCAGAGCGAGTGCCAGGATAGGCTCCAAAGGTACACAGAGAAACCCTGTCTGGAAAAAAAAATAAAAAGTGTGAGATGAGTAGCAATAGTCCCCATTGGGAATTTTCCCTCCCTTTATTTTGTTTTTCTCTCCTTTTTCTTTCACATAGTCAAGTGGATCACCTCAAATGATACAGAGGGTTTTTTGTTTTTTTTTTTCTGGGGGGGGGAGGACCTTTACACCAGCATGCTTGGATCTAGATGAGGAAAAGCCATACCCCAACTCCAGAGCCAGCTTTTAATTCAGATGGAATAGCATGAAACAGTGGTCTAATGACACCTAAAAGACGTGTGAACCCTCATAAAACTGAGAACAAAGAAGGCTTAGAGATAGGAGATTTTTGAGCCCTGGCAATAGACCAAGGGCACTGCAGGGAGAGCCAGTGAGGACTGTGCACTGGGTGTGTGCACGTGGCAGCCTGCCTGTCCTCTACTCTCTCCCTGCTTGATAGGTCCTGCTCCCAGCTCCCGCTTTGCAACAAACTTATAGATTCATGGACCTTAAAAAGACAGGACATTCACACGGTGAAGGAGGGAGACCAGACAAAAACAAACGGCTTGGGGTGGAGAAAAGCAAGTATGAACATAGGGAATGTAGAATCTTGTTAAATTTCCCCAATAGCTCACAGTGTAAGACCCTCAGAAAGCTGAGGCTTCCAGAATCTTAGCCCAGGACGGCGGCCACCCCAAACACAGAATGGAGGCGAAAGCTTGATGCAAACTGCATGAGGCTTTATTGTAGTTTAACGAACTAACCCCATGTTAGCTCGGGTCTTTCCCCCCCCCGCCATGGCGGATGGCGGGAAAAGACGGCTCCTTGGGTCTCCCAAAAGATCTTATAGGGCAGCGTAAGGGGAGTGTCTGTGGGTTTGAGGGCTTGCCCTGTGTTGATTGGTCAACTGGTTGTTATGGCTCATAGGCCCTCCCAGGGTGGTTGCTATGCTCTCTACGTCATTGTCGTGCGCTTGTCCGTAAAGCACACCCAGGGTCGTAAAGCATAGCGCCACCAGCTAACTTCCGATTGGCTCCTTGTCATGCGACAGGCATCTGACTTTCTAGTGACTAACTTCTGATGGGTTCCTTGTCACGAGACAGGCATCTGACCTCTACGTGACCAAGGCAGGTTTATGGCAAGCATGTGTTCGGCTGTTATGGCTGCCAAAAGGAAGCTGGTTCCTTCAACAGTACTCATAAAAGTGCCAAATAATATTGGAATCTAAGGGGCTGTTAGGTGGCCATTGGGATTAATTAGTCCTCTAAGGGATATTGAGGCCAAGTTTGATTGCAAGGGTGAACATGTTTAGAGCCCTTCAGATTGGGTGCCAGGTACAGAGGCTGGAGGTTTTCTAAAAGGCGTTTCAAAAGAGAATGAGAGGGTATGGAATACACCATTTCCATGGATGAGCAAGGGGACAGGGAGAAAAAAAAAGTCACTGCAGCCTGTAGTCAAGGGCGTGGACCACAAGGAGGATCACACACTGAGGAAGACAATGGATGTGGAGAGGGGACTGCCGGTGTAACTGAACAGGGAGAGACCAGCTCACAAGAGGAGCGGAACAGTGTGCGGAAATGGGGATGGCCATCGGTAGACTGCACAGATTTCAGGACTTGAAAGCCGGCATGGCTCCATATAGTTGCACAATCTCTAATAAAGGACAGCTGAAACAGTCAAGAGCAGAACTTTTGGGAAGGTTAAAAAGAGTAAAATTCCTAAGACTGTTAAGTGTCCAGGCCACTTTCTCTCTGACCATTGTCTTCCCCAGTGCTAGCACACATGGTCAGTGTTCACCACGGTGGGGACAAAAGGGGCGGGGAAGCTGGAAGGAACCAGTACCTTCTGGATCAGAAAGGTGGAGAGGTGGCTTTGCTTTGAGAAAATCTTCCTAACTTGGCCTTAAAAGTCCCATTCAACTAGTGGGGAATTGTTAATAACAATGAATTCCTCTTCCTTTGACATTGTCAATACGATAGGATCTAACTCTTACAAAATGGCGTTGTTGTTGTTTTACCTTTGCCCACTGAACGACTTGCACTTTGGTAAGACACATGGTTAAGGTCCTGAGCCTCGGGCCACTACCCATGACAATACCATGTTGTTGGCCTTTTTGACTTTCACGTTTATTTTTGAGACAGGATCTTACTATGTAGAACATGCTGGCTCTGGACTCACAGAGATCCATCTGCCTCGGCCTCCTGGGTGCTGGGATTAAAAACAATGCCAGCATGCCCAGCTTCCTTTTTGTTTACTTGCTGTGTATGCATGTTTTGCCTGTATGTATGTCTGTGTGCCACTGTGTGATTGGTGCCCGAGGCAGAAGAGGTCATGGGATCCCTTGGAAATGTTGTCACAGGTGGTTGGGAGCCACTGTGTGGGTGCTGCAAGCTAAAACTGTCCTCTAAACAGCTCAACCATCTCTCCAGCCCGTTACTCCCCTTTGATATCCATCTGGTAATGAGCTCCTGGCGATGGCGTTAGCTTTCTGAGTGGGTTCGCTCCTCTGTGTGTGCCAGAATGCTGCCGCAATCCGCAGGTACTGAGCAATTCCTTGCGGGTCCTCACTGTAGTGAGGCGGTGTAGAAATAAGAGGAAATAAGAACAGTCTCCTGGCCGGGCGTTGGTGGCGCACGCCTTTAATCCCAGCACTTGGGAGGCAGAGGCAGGGGGATCTCTGTGAGTTCGAGACCACCTGGTCTCCAGAGCGAGTGCAGGATAAGCTCTAAAGCTGCACAGAGAAACCCTGTCTCGAAAAACAAAAACAAAACAAAACAAAAATAACTGTCTCCTGTCCTTAAAGAGCACTCACTCAACCTAGTTAAGGGAACAATAAGCCAAAGGTGTAGGTTAAAATCTGTGGGGCCGCCTTCAAGCGCTGTCAGATGCAGAGAATGCACTGTCCTAGACGATAGCGCAAGTGAAAGCACTGTGCTAGACACGTGGCAACGTGAGTGAGTACATTCCCAAGACTTACACCTGGATGAAAATAAAGCCTCTCTAGTTTCAGGCAGGAACATCGGTGTTACTGTTCACAGTCATTGTGCTAATCTCACAGAGCCCTCTGGCGGGCGGCTAACGGGAGACCCGCACGCTCAGGGCACGGTGAGGAAACCGAGGTAGAGAAAGGTAGGAAGCTCAAAGGCTCACAGTCGGAGACACCTGTTTATTCCCGAAAATCCTCTACCCGAGTGACCGCCACCCGAACGTCAGCGCCCCACGTCCTCTCAGGTCTCGGTGTAAACACAGCCGACCAGGCGCTCCGCCCGCCGCCCCCTCCGCCGAGGCGTGCCGGAAGTGCAGGTGCACTGTGGGAAGCGCCGCTGCGGTTCACAGCCCCGCGGCCCGGTTGCAGACTGCAGCCCCGCTGACGAAAGTCATAGGCTCTAGAAAGCTAGAGAGGGATGCGAAGGAGGCTGGAGGGTTTTGCCTGGGCTCAGGGCTAGCAAGACCATTTCTCGGAAGCTCACAGTCGCTCAGGCATCGCAGGCTGCCCGGGTCCTCCAGACAGAGACAGAGCGGCGTCTCTATGATCAAAGAGACATAGAGCGGTCCTCTCTTCCCCACCAGGTGGGACTGCGCATGTGCGGAAGCTGCAGCCTCGAACCATGGCGGAAGAAGGGTAAGTTTCTGGGTTGTTGAAACTCCGGAGTGGGGCTTTGAGTATCCGACTCCATCCTCTTTGTTGGCACTCTGGTGATACAGCAGGGTGCTTGTGCGTTGTGGAAGGAAGGGAAAGGCTCGTGTTGTTCAGTAAAGGTGGGGACTGAGCGGCTGGAGGGCTGGGTTAGCGGAGCGGAGCACCGCGGCCGAGCTTCGGTAGGAGAGTGGCCGAATTGGGTTCGCTCCGCTTGACTGTCACGAATACGTTTTTCACAGTTTCTTACACACGTGTAGTGTGCTGTGGTCATATACTCTCCCCCATCACCCCTATCCCCTCCCTACCTCACCCTGGCTCGACTTCAATAATTCTCCTTGGTAGATCTGCAACTGCCCCAAGCCTTTCCGGATTGTGCTAGAATTTCCTCGCCGTTAGTGTCTGTAAACCCAGGGGCCAAAGGTTTTCCTTTTTTTTTTTTTAAGGTTTTCGGGGACAGTGAGAATTACAGGTCTGTGATCAGAAACCATAGGTTTCCGGGGAAATCTCAAAACGACTGATGTGTACCCGGAAAACCAGGATCCTGAATTGGTTTGGAAAGCCATTGAATGTTCGTTTTGTAATTTTACTTGGTGTCAATTTTTTCTTTATCAGGGAAAGAAAAAAGATCCCTTTGGTTCCAGAAAATCTCCTGAAAAAGAGGAAGGCTTATCAGGCTCTCAAAGCCACCCAAGCAAAGCAGGCACTTTTGGCAAAGAGGGAGGTAATTCTGGGGAGGGTGGTACACGGGATGTTTGGGACTGCAGTGGGTGAATTTTATTGAGCATATATTGAACTATATTTGTTATTATCTGATCTTCCCCACTCCTCGTTGTTCCCCTAAACAGTATAGTCCAGGTCTCCATTTAGAAAAGATTTACCCAACATTTTTCTGTGAGCAAAATGCTAGAATAGCATTTAAGGGGAAAACGAAGACTTTATAAATTCAAATTAACCGATGAAAGACCAAATTTGACAGAAAAAAATTTTGTTTCTTAGACAGGGTCTCTCTATGTATATCTCTGGCTGGTTTGGAAATTCATGTGACCAGGCTGGCTTCAAACTTAACAGATCAGTCTGCCTCAGCCTCCAGAGTGCTGGGATTAAATTGCCAATTCTGGTACACTAGTGTAATTCAGCATTCTGGAGGGCTGAGGCAGGAGGATGGAGAGTTTAAGGTCAGCTTGGGCTATATGATGAGAACCTGTCTCAACCCAAAAGTATCCAACCATTTTTAATGTTTATTTTATTTAGAATGAGGTGTATATGTGGGCTGTGCACACAGTAGATACAAGTTTTTTGATGACAAGAAAAACCTTGTATTTAATGATGCCTAATACGGTATTGTGTTTCATAAACGCTTGTACTAGTTGTTACCAACATATAAACTAATTTACCACAAGCTTTTCTTCATAGTGTCTAAACCTTCTTAGCACTACTTTTACTTGGGTTCCTCATGTTTCCTTATGTAATGGTGGAAGTGTTTCTTTTCTTTTGGAGGGTGGGGCAGGGTTTCCCTGGGTAGACCAGGCTGGCCTCAGACTCACAGAGCTCCACCTGCCTTTGCTAGACTCCCAGCACTGGTATTGAAGGTGTGGTGAAAGTGTTTCTTCTTGACTCCTGGGTTAGTTGTGGGAAGAGATGTTAATGTCTGTTTTCTGTCTTAGAGGAAATCAAAAGAAGTCAGGTTTAAACGACTGGAATCATTTGTACGTGATTCCTGGCGGCAGCGGCGTGACGATGTGCGGGTCCGGCGACTAGAAGTGAAGCCTCATGCGTTGGAAGTACCTGATAAACACCCCTTGGCCTTTGTTATACGCCTGGAAAGGTAAGAGTCCCTGAGATGGGTGAACTGTTGATTCAGCTTTAGATGTCTGTAGGGAGATAGGAGATAAAGGCTAACCTACTACAGCAAATTATGCTAGGTGAAATTCTACAGGTGAAATGAGGTCGGTCCATGTTGCAGACACCCAGGGTTAAGGTTGGGGTGTTTAGTGATAACCTTTCTAAAACAGGGACAGCAGCTTGACGCAAGACATGAAGTAGGCAAAGTAGGCCAGGCGTGGTGGCACATGCCTTTAATCTCAGCACTGACACACAGAGAAACAAAAGACGTGACCACGGAGTTCAGTGGTTTTGGGGGGCATATATACTGGCGATACAGGATACACAGTGCCACTGCCCAAAATTTCTTTCCTGGGTTGGAGTTCCCTGCTTCTGATATCAGCCTCATCAGCTGATAGATAAGCAATAGTCAGAAAGAAATCTGAACATGTTCCTTGCTTTTACTAACCGCCCATTGAAGCGACTCAGCTTCCTTGGGTAGACATACATAATCCTAGCCCGCCCTCTCAGCCCCGCCAATCCGTAATTTAGACTGTCTTGTAGCATCCAGGGTTATTCCACATAATGGAAAAATGATCTGTTTCCAAGCTGCCTTCCACTACAATGAACTCTGAAGTGAATTCTGTGTATCCAGCAATAGTCATACATTTCCGAGTTGCTTGCCAAACAGACTGGAGTCAGACGCTTACAGCTGTTCTTTTCAGGACAGAAGGAGTCAGTTTATTGGTAAAGAAGACAATAGCAAAACTTCGCCTGAAGAAATTGTTCAGTGGTGTCTTTGTCCTTGTCACCCCTCAAAGTGTGAAGCTGCTGCGCACAGTGGAGCCTTATGTGACATGGGGGTGAGTACAGTGCTCCATGTGAATTCCCTTCAGCTTTGAGTGTTTAAGACACAGGGTCCGGCGTTGGTGGTGCACGCCTTTAATCCCAGCACTCAGAAGGCAGAGGCAGGCAGATCTCTGAGTTCAAGGCCAGACAGGTCTCCAGAGCGAGTGCCAGGATAGGTTCCAAAGCTACACAGAAAAACCCTGTCTGGAAAAAAGAAAGAAAGAAAGATAGAAAGAAAGAAGCCAAAACAAATTAGAACTGAGCATGGTGCCTGAGGCCTGTAATCCCTTTGCACCAAAGGTTAAGGCAGGAGGATTACTGCGAGTTTGAGACCAGTGTAAGCTACAAGAATAAGACCTGGTCTAAAAAAAATACCTAAATTTCTAATTATAGCTCAGGCCCACTCTGGGATTTTTCAGTTGGCTGATGGATGGGTTTGTTTTTAGTTTGAGTATTTTCAGTTTTAATGTTGTTGGGCAACCGAGGCTCACTTCAAAGTCACTGTGCAGTCCAAGATCCTCCTGCCTCTGCCTCTCAGATACTAGAATTGCAAGCATGAGCCACTGTGCCTGGTGTTCAGTCCCATTTTTCATCCTCCCTGTCAGTTGTGTCTCCCAAAAACCCAGTGGTTGTGGGAAGTGGGGGTGGGGTGGGGCTTTACCTCTTCTCAGCCAGGGTAAAGCAGGTACTGTATTATGTCTTACAAAGATTTCCAAATCTGAAGTCTGTTCGGGAGCTCATCTTGAAACGAGGCCAGGCAAAGATTAACAATAAGACTGTCCCTCTGACAGACAACACAGTGATTGAGGAGCACCTGGGTGAGTGTGGCTGCTGGGGGTCACTTGCGGTAAAAAGTGGGGGGTTGTGATTGGGGATCCAGGGTATGTTCTTGGGTTTTACAGTCCCAGCTTCATCGTGTGAGTGCTTGCTGTATACTGGCTAAATCTACACCTTTTGTTTCTCAGGGAGATTTGGTGTCATTTGCCTGGAAGACCTCATCCATGAAATTGCCTTCCCAGGGGAGCATTTCCAGAAGATCTCTTCATTCTTGTGCCCTTTCCAGCTCTCTGTGGCCCGTCATGCCACCAAGAATAGAGTGGGCTTCCTCAAGGAGATGGGCTCTCCTGGCTACCGGGGTGTACGCATCAATCAGCTCATCCGCCAGCTGAACTAGACAGGGACCAGGTGAGGCTGTGCTGTAGGCTGCTTGCTCTCTCTCTGCCTGGGTGTGTGGATATGCCTGAGCACGTCCCCCGAAGTAGAGGGTAGAGGTTGGTTTTCTCCCCGCTGTATTGGTTCCAAGGATCAAAGTTGAGTACTTTGTCTTGGTGGCAAAAAGCCTTTCTCTCTCTCTCTCTCTCAATAGGTTTCTCTGTGGCTTTGGAGGCTGTCCTGTTACTAGCTCCTGTAGACCAGGCTGATCTCAAACTCACAGAGATCTGCCTGCCTCTGCCTCCCGAGTGCTGGGATTAAAAGGGGTTAAAAGGGGTGTGTGCCAACAATGCCAGGCTCAAAAAGCCTTTCTTACTTAGTCATTCTGTCAACCCCTGGTCTGATTTTGGTGGGTCATGCTTGTCCTCTGTGAACTGCAGGTGTAGTTATTGGACCAGAACTAACTGTGGAAGCAAGTTCTTAGTCCCTAGAATCCCTATCAGAAAAGTTTCTCCTGTGTGTGCCAATACTGGAGAGCTGGACTCTTAAGATGGGAATGAGCCATCTTTAGTGGTGGCGCCCATCTTTAATCCCAGGACTTGGGAGGCAGAGGCAGGTGGCAGAGCTACACAGAGAAACCCTGTCTCGAAAAACAAAAACAAACACCGATAGGACCAGCAGGGTCAGTGCCTGATTAGGACATGAGGCTGTTACTGTTAGGTTACAAGCTAGAAAACGTTTGTGTTGCCATGGACATATAGCCTGCAGTGGAGAAGAAATCACATCAAAACTAATTTCTGAAGGAATTTGAAGCCAGGTGGTGGTAGTGCACTGAGTTCCAGGACAGGCTCCAAAAGCTACATAGAGAAATCCTGTCTCTTGCCGGGCTGTGGTGGCGCATGCCTTTAATCCCAGCACAGGTAGGTGGATCACTGTGAGTTTGAAACTAGCTTGGTCTACAAGAGCTAGTTCCAGGACAGCCTCCAGAGCCACAGGGAAACCCTGTCTCGAAAAAAACAGAGAGAGAGAGAGAGAGAGAGAGAGAGAGAGAGAGAGAGAGAGAGAGAGAGAGAGAGAGAGAGACCGACCGACCGAGACCCTGTCTCAAAGAGGAAGGAAAAAAAAAAGATTTTGAACACCATGAACACCAGTTACCTGTTTCTTACCCTGAGGTGCTTTGTGTTGCTGTGACGTCAGTTGTTTGTATTGATACAGTTGTGTTTTCCTTCCTTAGGACTCCAAAAGCACAGTGCATTGGAAGAGTGCTTTTTGTTATTTAAAATTATCAAGTATCTTCAGAGAAGATTATTTTCTGCTTTCAGCACCTGGAAGGAGGCGGAGAGACAGACAGCAGGGTTTGAGCATTGCACCCTGCCCTGTTCCATGGAAAAAGACTTTGTTCTCCACAACGGCTGCCCCTGCCTCCAAAACCCATGCAGGCCATGTAGGAAAGAGTTGCCCTGCTTCGTTCTGTATATTATCTTGGTGTTTAATGTTGACGGGCAAGTGGCCCAAACATCCCTCCCACCCTTCCAGGACTCCAGCAATGGGCCAGACCCCAGGGGCATACTTGAACCTGGAAGAAAAGAGTCTTGGTTTTTACCTATTTTATTTTTGTCATCGCAGGTGGCTTTTTTTGTTGTTTGTTTAGGACAACGTCTCACTGTGTAATCGTGGCTGGCCTTAACTCTAGCCATCTTCCTAAGTGCTGAGATTACAGGCGGTGTGTGCCTCGGAACCTATTCCTGAGACGTGAAATGCAGTTAGGAAGGTGACAAAAGCCATGCTTGGTTTTGTGCTATGAGGCCATGTTGCAACTTCAGTGTTGGCTTTGATCCGGCTTGCCTGTCCCTGAGTCAGTGTGATGGCATTTGTACTCTGACCTGCAGTTTAAGGCTAGGGTTGTCTGCACTAGGAAAAGACATACACTCATAACCAACCACACATGCATTCCCACTGTGCTTGTCACTCCATGGTGGTAACACACACCCTGTTAACACCCATGCTTATATGTGAGGACCTGCTTTTCTATGGGCATTTTGTACTGGAGAAGGAGACAAGGTTTAGTCTTGGTTGTTTCCTGCTCAGCAGTAAGGGTGGGTGGTCGTGCATGCCTTTAATCCCAGCACTTGGGAGGCAGAGGAAGGTGGGTCTCAGTGAGTTTGAGGTCAACCAGGGCTGTTACACAAAGAAACCCTGTCTCAAAAAACCAAAAACAAATAAATGTTAGTGATAAACTGGCCCAGTGTTGGAAAGGCAGAGGCAGTGGTGCTCCTGAGTTGAAGGCCATCCTTCAACTTAGTTGAAGAACTGAGTTTTTCTTAACTATTGTTTCCCTTGATCTTTCCTATAACCTTGGCTCACTGAAACTGAGAAATATGAGTCAAGGCCCATGCTGATAGCACATGTCAGTAATCCCAGCACTCGGGAGGCAGAGGCAGGTGGATCTCTTTGTGAGTTTGAGACCGGCCTGGTCTACAAGAGCTAGTTCCAGGACACCCTCCAAAGCCACAGAGAAACCCCGTCTCGAAAAAACCAAAAACAAAAAAAACTGCATTGCAGGCTTGGAGGAACACTCCATGTGTATTGTACTGAATGAGGGAACACTATGCAGGGCTATGTGGAGAAACTGTCTCAAAAAAAAAAAAAAAAAAGATTTCAGGAGCCCAAGCATGGCTCAGTGGCTAGGGCCTTTTCCGCCAGCCCCACCATCTGACAACAGTCTTAAGAAGGGGCTGGGATGGAGAGCATTGGTGTTGTGAGTCTCTGCACCCACGTGGCAGTTGACAGCTCCAGGTGTCTAACTCTTGTTACAGCCTTGAGGGTGGCAGTAGGTAACCCTGCCAGGCCAAGAGCATGATTTTTGGGACCTACGTGGTAGGAGTAGCAGGTTCCAAGATCCAGGGTTTCTAGGGCTGTGTTGCCATTCAACTTTAAATAAAATGGGAAGTTTACAGAGGGCAGCCTGGTCTACAGAGTGAACTCCAGGATGGACAGAGCTACACAGAGAAACCCTGTCTCAGAAGTCAAACAGACAAAATAAGGATTTCAGTTGCATCATTTCAGAACCGAGTTCTATCAAACCCAAATAACTACAAAATTAGTAGTAGCCAAAATTAGCTTTTGGCCCTCCAGTTCACTTTATCAGTGTCATCAGGAGGTCATGGCCCGTTACTGTGGCAAATGAAAGAGACACCGCAGGTGGTAAAATAGACTTGTTTCAATTCTGCAGACAGATTACAAGTATGAAGTTGAAACTCGGCGTCCGACCCCGAAATTCCTGGGCAACATTTGTCTCCCGGGAGGACTGGGTCTGGTTGGGACAAATCACAGCAGATGCAGAAAGATGAGTAAAGCTAGCAGCTGTCCAGACCCTCAGGTTCATGCAGGACCCAGTCACGCCCTCTGGATCACGGCTGCAAAAGCCCTCGAGCTCAGGAACCCGCTGGGCCTCCGCCGTGCTGGGCTGAGCAGGCCGGCTCCTCGACGGTCGGGGATGGCGCGCACGCGTCTAGGGCGGTGGTGTGGGATGATGCGGCTGAGCCCGCGTCCTCCCAGGGCTTGGGCCTCCGGGGGAGCAGCGACGCCGTGGGTTCGCCGGGGATCACGGTGATGTGAGGTTTCTCTATACCCGGGAGCTCCTGGCCCTTCTGGACAAGCTGCAGCAGCTGCGCCAGGGTCACCGAGGCCTGAGCCGGTTCCGGGGACGCCAGTGCTCCGCTTGGACTGCCGGCACGACCCCGCAGCTCCATGTCCCGCCACCAGTCCGCTCCCGGGACCCGACCACGAGTACTTCCGGGCGGTGTGGGAGCAACCATTTTCGAGGAAGGAAGAGGGGAGGCCTCAAACCTTACCAAGTAGTCTAGCCCAGGTTAGATCTCCAGAACCTGAGCTGTTCTGCCGAAGCTGCAGGCTGGGTGAACGCCCCAGCTCTCATCCTACAAAGTGGCATGTACTTAGAAGGGTTTTTCTTTTTTCTTTTTTTTTTTTTTTATTAAAAGGACCAGTCAAAACCTGAAGTTTGTGCCCAGTGGGACAACAATTGTGCTGAGGCGGGGCTCCAAAAACACGCTTCCCTTCTGCGCTCACAGGCTAGCTACAGCAGGATTTGCTCGCTCTGTATTCCAGGCTGTGATCTGTCTGCTTCTCCCGAGCGCGCATTCTCTTCACATTTCTTTTGTTAATTGTGGTACTAAGGATCAAATCCCAGGGGTTTGTTTGTTTGTTTGTTGTTGTTGTTTGTTTTCACTGTTGTTTGGGTGTTTGTCGCCTATTTTGGTTTTGAGACAAGGACTCTCACCATCTCCCACAGTGTGTGCTGAGCTGCACATCCTGACTCCGAGGCTCAGGTTTCTGAAATTATCAAAGCTAGCCTGGACAGGATGCGGTGGCCCGTGCCTGTAATGCTATATGCTGGGACCATGGAACCATCCTGTGCTACGTGCTGAAAGAGGTAAATAAATAATCAACAAACAGATTAATCAGGAACACCCCAGGAATCAGTAAGTAACGCCTAGCGTTACTTAAAGTTAGTTAAAGTAATTTTAAAAGGACCCCTCTCGGTAAGCAACCCTATGAAACTCACGAGGTGAAAAGCAGAAAAAGTGGGTGAGATGGCTCAGCAGGTAGGACTGTGAGACTTTATCCCCTGCCTCAGATTTTTTTCATGGTCTCGTGTAGCCAAGGCTGGCCTTGAACTCACAATAACTGTGTGTGTGTGTGTGTGTGTGTGTGTGTGTGTGTGTGTGTGCGCGCGCGCGCGCGCGCGCATGTGTATGTGTGGTGTGAAGACACACAGTGTGCATGCATGTGGGGTGGATGCCAGGGATCATTCTACATTATTCTTCCACTTTAATGACATAGAGCCTCTCACAAAAACCCAGAACTTATATGGCTTGTTTCTTTAGCCAGTTTGCTCTGGGGATCCCCTGTGTCTTGGGGTTTCTATTGTTTCAGCAAAACACCATTACTAAAACTCAACTGTGGTTTATTCAGCTTACACTTCCGCATCGCTGTGCACAACTGAAGGAAGTCAGGACGGGAACTCCAACAGGGCAACATCCCAGAGGCCAGAGTTGATGCAGAGGCCATGGAGGGTGCTGCTTACTGGCTTGCTTTCCCTGAATTGCTCAACCTGCTTTCTTATAGAACCCAGAGGGTACCAGCCCAGAGATGGCACCACCATGGCCTGGGCCCTCCCCCATTGATCACTAAATGAGAAAATGCCTTACAGCTGGATCTCAAGGAGGCATTTCCTCCTCGGAGGCGCCTCCCTCTGTACTGGCCTGTCCTTGAGGTCCTGACAGGGTATGCCCTCAGCTGCAGCCACTAAGAGCATTTAGTGAATATGCCACCTGTGGGTATTCACTCCGTTGTTCCCTTTTAAAAGGGCCCTGCCCACCTCCCATTCTCTATCTCCACCACCACCACCACCCCACTCCCCATTCTCTTTCTCTCCCTCTCTCTGTTTCTTTCTCACCCTCCCTCCCTCCATCCATCCCTTTCCTCTCCTACTGCTCCTGTCCCCAGAGGCTGGTCTCACACACACACACACACACACACACACACACACACACACACACGCGTACGCGCTTTCCCCCTTTTAGGAACCTTCCCCCTAATACAAAACCCTTCCACTTGAACTCAGTGTTGCATTGCACCTTTCTCATCTGCTTTTTAAAAATTACAGCATAATCCTGTCTCTGCCTTTCAAGGTAGAATTGCAGGTAGGCCACCACACCCACCTGGGACTTAGCTGGGTTTGTGGGGCTCCAAATTCGGACCCTCACACATGCATGGCAGGTGATCTAACTGCTGACATCTCTCAGCCCCAGCTTTGAACTTCTGGCCTTCTGCCTCCACCTCCCTAGTTTGGAGATTACAGGTGTGCACCGCCACGTCCAGTTTAGTGTGGTTCTGGGAACTGAACACAGGACTTGATATTTGCCAAGCACTTTGCCAGTTGAGCTCTGTTTCTAGCCCCTCTTGGGCACCCTTCTTCATGCAATGCTCGCCCTTTCACCTTAGACTCCCCATATTGTAGAACTGTGACAAAACTTTTCTTTTTCTTTTTGGAACTGAGTATCAAACACTGGCCTTGCTCATTCTGGGCAAGCATTCGATCACTGAGGCATATCCTCAGAACAATTTCTTTTTCATATAAATTACCCAGTCTGTGATAGTCTCTTACAGCATAAAAGGGGACTTCTGTTGCTCCATCATGCAAACATTGATGGAGAGCATGAGGCTGTGCACACTGCCAAGTGCTGGCAAACAGGTCACCGGCCTGGAGACATCACAGCTTGCCAGGGACAAAAGTTGTGGGAGTGAGGACTTAGGATAACATTACTCTACATGTAAACTTTACGTAAATAATATAGTGTGGCATGTGATATAATATGATATCCTTGTTACCTGCCAGGTGAAATAAGGATTCCATGAATTATAATGACTTTTAAGTGTATTTGTTCATAGCCTGGGTCCAATTCCCACCTTGGCACTGTGAAACTTTGGGGCCAAGTCTTTTACTTATTTCAGCTTCAGACTGTCTGTCACCTGACTGCCCTGCTTCTAAGAAGCCCCTGCTGATGAGCTAGGGTCATCACAGGATGCTTGATGAAGGCCATTTTTTTTTTTTTTTGAGAAAAGCCAGCATAAAGCACTTTTATTGCAATACTAAAACTTGGAACGCATATGTGGTGCAGAAGGCAGGGGACAAATCACTACACAGGACAGCAGAGGGTGAGAAGGAACTGAAGGAGGGGGAAAAAGCCAGGAAGCCGAGATTAGCAGAGAGCCAAGCATCAAAACCCAGGAGATGCTGAAGCTGTGATGACCAGCATCATTTTCTTAGAGAACACTCAAGGATTTGTAGTGATGGCTGGGCATCCATTGGGTGGTGAGTCTACAAACAGCACCTTCAATTTAAACTTTCCATTAAAGTTCTTAAAATTTAGGAAGTGGAGCTTGGATAGTTACAAGATTATAAAAGTCCTGAAAGGGCTGGAGAGATGGCTCAGAGGTTGGGAGCACTGACTGCTCTTCCAGAGGTCCTGAGTTCAATTCCCAGCAACCACATGGTGGCTCACAACCATCTGTTATGAGATCTGGTGCCCTCTTCTGGGCAGCTTGGAATGGCACCTTGGGATCATCAAGTTCCAGCATTGATTAAATGCTCAGCCCTTCTAGATAGCCCCTCCTCCTTTTCTTTTTTTTTTTCTTTCTTTCTTTTTTTTTTTTTTTTTTTTGGTTTTTTTTTTTTTTTGGATCTCATTGAATAGCCCAGGAAGGCCTTGAACTCACCATCCTATCTTGAGATCTCGTTTGCAAAAGTAAGAAAAGTAAGAGTTATCAAGGGCAGGGATCTTGAGATGAGTCAGAGACCTTACATATTTATATATCTATATCTACTTAACTACAGTTATATTATCAGTGGCAAAAACAAGACAGACTCTACCTACTCCAACCGGGTGGAAAGCAAGAACTAACTCTGGTTATAAGTTGTCCTCTAGCCGGGCATGGTGGTGTACGCCTTTAATCCCAGCACTTGGGAGGCAGAGGCAGGCGGATCTCTGTGAGTTTGAGACCAGCTGGGTCTACGAGTGAGTTCCAGGACAACCTCCAGAGAAACCCTGTCTCGAAAAACCAAAAAAAAAAAAGTTGTCCTCTGATTTCCACACATGTATTGCTATCTGCAAATATACACCCACACCCCCCACACACACACAAATACATATATACACACATAAATAAACTTAGATAGAGGTGTTGCTGAGTTGATAGAGCATTAGTGTTCCATCCCTGACACCACATGAAACCAGGCACACTGGTGTCTTCCTGTGATTCCAGTACTTGGGAGATGGAGGCAGGAGGGTCAGAAGTTCAAATTAGAGGGCAAACTAGACTCTACTAGAGCCTGTCTCAGAAGGAATAGGAGTCGGGGGAGAGGAGAGGAGCGGGAAGAACATATGACCCTTAGAATGTTAGGTTATCCAAATTCATTCTCATGGATACCCATCCAAGATTTGGGATTTAAAATGTTGGCTCCAGCACCTGGGAGGGACAATAATAGTCTATTTGGTTAATTAAAGCCATAATGATTTTTTTCAAAGATTTTATTTATTTATTAAGTATACAACATTCTGCTTCCATGTATTTCTGCACACTAGAAGAGGGCACCAGATCTCATAACAGATGGTTGTGAGCCACCATGTGGTTGCTGGGAATTGAACTCAGGACCTCTGGAAGAGCAGTCGGTGCTCTTAACCTCTGAGCCATCTCTCCAGCCCCTAAAGCCATAATGATTTAATAAGACTGAAATGCTAGAACGTCCCTGGCAGGCATCCTGTAGAAGGACTCAGAAATGTTTGGAGATGAGAACTGAGGACTGGGTTTTTCATGTGAACTTCAGTCACCCTAGCCACACACTGCAAGGGTCCAGCAGACAGTCCCCAAACTAAATCATCAAGAAATGTAGAGGTGAGGCACAAACGTGGGAGGTTGAAGCAGGAGAATAGCAGTCGAAGGAGAACCTGGGCTACATAATAAGATGTTTCAAGTGGGGGTGGGGGTGAGGGAAGAAGAGAGAAGGGAAAGGGAGGGAAGAGGTAGGGGGAGGGGAAGGCTGAAGAGGTGGCTCAGCAGGCAAAGCATTTGCCCAGCAAGCATGAGGACCCGAGTCTGAATCCCTAGGACCTCCGAAAAGTCAGGTGTGGTAGCGTGTGTCTAGATTTCTAGTGATCCAAGGCAAATGGGAGGTGGAAACAGGACAGTCACGAAAACTTGTGGGAGAGACCCAGCCTGCCTCAAACAAACTGGAAGGCCAGGGTAGACTCCTCCATCTGACTCCATATATGTTCTGTGCAAGCAGGAACCGTTGCTCACACACATGCATGCACACATGTACACACATACATCATATGTGTACATATACAATACACATCACACAAAAAAAGGAAGGAAGGAAAGAAAAAGAGGTAAGGGGAGGGCTGCCAGCATCCTTGCCTTGCTCTGACAGCTACAGTCCCTCGACAGGTCAGCAGCACTGGACTCCCTGATCTGAACAAAGTTTATGTCATCCTCATCGTGTAGAAGCCAAAAACAGGCAGAGGGTTTGCGTAGCACATTTGAGGCCTTTGTGGCTTGCTAGAATAAATGACCTCAGTGATGTATTTGGTTTTACTCAGCTGGAAACAGACAGTTAAGGCCCTGGGCAGGGATTGTGAGTGCCTGGTCTCATAGCCAACCTGCAAGTGACAGGTTCATGCCAGTGTGCCTGGGCATCCTTATTTGCCCTAGGTGAAGAGAGACTTTGGGGGCAGGAAGAGCTTCTGGGGCTTCAGAGGAAAGGAAACAAATGTGAGGCTAGTCAGCGAAAGCAGGGCCAAAAGGGAGGCAGGAGCTGGGCTGGGTGTGGGGTCGCCAGGCCAGCAGCACTAGCAGGCCTTCCTGTCCCCTGAAAGTGTCCCAAGGGCCCTCCCCCATCTGCATTGTGGTCATGGAGCCTGGGCCAGCACTCCCCTCAGGCTGGAGAACGCAGAGGTAGAGTCGTTAGGGACACCTGCCTCCCCTCCTCCCACTCCCAGGCGGCGGGAAGCCACCACAGCTGCACCTGGGCACAGCAGGGCCTGGGAACATGTGTAACCCTCAGCACCCAAGGCCACCCTTCCCGGTGGGTCCCTATGCAGGGCCAGGAAAAGGCAGGCAAGCAACCATTAAAACTGCCCTTGCGGCACTATGGCACAAGAATGAAGGTGAGGACGACATAGAGCTGTGTGCAGAAGAGACGCCCAAGTGTGATAAGGGCCCTTCAGGGTCAGGGAGGGCTATTTGGCACATCATTTAGGGTAATTAATTCTTTCTTTGGAAAACCTATGCCCTTTACAAAAATGACCTCCTAACAGGAAGAAGGTGGCATGGGTGAGACTGCACTAAGCACTCTCAAATAAAGACAATTGTTTTTGCTTTTGTTTCCCTTTCGTTTTTTAGAAGTAGGGTCTCAGGCTGCAGTCCTGGCTGGCCTGGAACCATCTAGCATCCTGAGGTAGCATAAACTGGCACCCTGTGCTCTTCAAGGTTGGCCTGAGCCTCATGAGATCCTTCTTTTCTTTTCGTTCCTTCTCTCCTCTCCCCCGCCCCCTCCTCTCTCTCTCTCTCTCTCCCCCCCACACACACAGGGTTTCTCTGTGTAGCCCTGGCTGTCTTAAAACTCACTTTGTGGATCAGGCTGGCTTTGAATCACAGAGATCTGCCTGCCTCTGCCTCCTAAGTGCTGGGATTAAAGGTGTGCACCACCACAGCCAGCCTAATGTTACAGGTCACTAGGGAAATGCAACAAAACTACTGAAACCGGGTACCAGACCTGAGCCTTAGGTCCCCAGACCTAAGCACAACTGACTCCATGATGGAAGTGTCAGGGTAAAACTCAGCATGTAGACAGCACCACCTGCCAAAATGGAAACAAAGACCTGGTCCATCAAAGTCCATAGTTCTGGGAAAGTCTCTAAATGTACTAACTGCTTTTTTGGCTTCTGTAGTTCTGCTTCTGGCTAACTGATCCTGTTAACTGAAGTGTGTCAACCCAGAACATGGTTTTGTGCTTAAAAGCTCACCCTGAGAAAGGCTCAGTACTACCTTGGGATCCCAAACACCCAGTCAGTCGCTGGTCAGCTAATAAAGAAAGGCTTTCTACTGGCTGAAACCCATGTCCCAGCAGTCTCCTCTGGTGAATCGCCAACCACACTGTAATTAGATATCCCCCATGTCCACCCACTTAAGACAGCTACCTAGACCTAGGACATGGGCTGGTCATGATGGGAAGGGCCTGTAATCCCAGCACTTGGGAATTTGGAGCAAGAAGATGAGGAGTTGGATCTATCTTGGGCAATAGCTTGAGATCCTGTCTCAAAAACATAAAAGAAAAAGAAAGGCTGGAGAAATGGCTCTGTGGTTAAGAGCTTTGCAATTATTCTTCTGGAGGAGCAGATTTTGTTTCTTGTTGAGTTTTTTTGAGGCAGGGTCTCATGTAGCTCAGGCTGCTCTCAAATTCTCTTTATAAGTGAGGATGACCTTGAACTTCTGATGGTTCTGCCTCGGCCTCATAGCTGTGATCACAAGTGCACCACCACCTTACCTGGTGTATGCAGATTGGGGATGGACCTTGGGCTTCATCCATGGCAGGCAAGCACTTTACCAGCCTCCTGCTCAGACTCTTTGAGGCCATTGGGGACAACACAGCAAGTCTGCATGTCTAAAAGTAACTGCAGCCAAGCATGGGAGAGCATGCATTTAATCCAGCACTCTGCAGGCACAGGCAGGTAGATCTCTGTGAGTGAGTTCGAGGCTAGTCTGGTCTACAGAGTGAGTTCCAGGTCAGCCAAGGCTACACAGTGAAACCATCCTTGGCTACATAGCAAACTCAAAGCCATTTGGACTATATAAGAAAGACCCTGTCTCAAAAGAACAAAAAATAGGGCTGAAGGGATGATCAGCAATTAAGAGCATATATTGCTCTTGCAGAGGACCTGAGTTTAGTTCCCAGTACCTGTCAGGTGATTCACAATCTTCTGTAACTCTAGCTCCAGGGATCCAATACCTTACACATACATGTAATTTAAAACAGTTTGTGTGTGTGTGTGTGTGTGTGTGTGTGTGTGTGTGTGAGAGAGAGAGGGAGAGGCAGAGGGAGGGGAGGAGAGAGAGAGAGAGAGAGAGAGAGAGAGAGAGAGAGAGAGAGAGAGTATGTGTTTGAGTCAGGGTCTCCCTATGTACCCCTGGCTGTCCTGGAACTCACTTTGTACTCAAACTCACAGAGATCTACTTGTCCCTGTCTCCCTTGGGCATTAGGCACATACATGACACATAGACATATATATGAGCAAAACATACCCACATATAAAGCAAAAAACAATAATAATAAAATGTTCATCCTTGGCTCTGCCAGCTGTGACCGTGGGCAGGCCACTCAGTCTCTCCGAGGCTCAGTTGCCTCATCTGCAAGTTGAAGCAACTGGAGGATGACCTGGGGTGGGCACCGGGCTCCTGGGATGGGAGTGGCACCTGAGTTCTCCGAAACCCCTCCTCCCCTGAAAGGACTGGGGACCCGCTCAGCTAGTGGCAGAGCAGCTGAGGTACAGCTGGGCCTGTGGCTTGGGAGGGAGTCAAGGGAGTCTCCTCCCTCAGCCCACACATCAGGGCTGCAGCTGGGCCTGTGGCCTGGGAGGGAATCAAGGGGGCTTCCTCTCCCAGCCCACACCTCAGGACTGAAGCCAGGTCATGCCTCTTCCTGAGTGGGCCATGGCTAGGCCGTGGTTGCTACTTTTCCTGGCCCTCAGGGGTCAGACCCTGCCCACAGGTAAGTCCCTTTTGCCTCCCTCTGTGGCTGCCACTGAGCCCATCCCCCGTACCATCAGAGCCTCTACAAGGAGGATGGAATCCATAGCCACCTGATTCTGAGGCCTCGGGTCTTCCTTCAGATGGAGCATCAGCAGTACCTCCTGTCCCTTTTGGAAGCATAGAGAAGTAAAAGCATCCGTGGCCTGGTGGGATAGGCCTGTAGCCCCAGCTAGTCAGAAGGCTGAGACAGGAGAACACAAGTTCAAAGGTGAGAAGAGGACTGTGGGTATAGCTCAGTGGTAGAACATTTGCTTTGCTGTCGTGTGTAAGGACTAGGTCCAGTCCTGGGACCAAATCATTAAAGAGAAAAAGAGAAGGCTGGACGGGAACCCACAGAAGTGGGAGGTTCTTGGAGCCAGGGCTGTGCTGTGTGATAAAGGGTGATGCACTGTGGGCAACACTGTAAGCTCCTGGGCTGTCCTTCCTGTTCCCAGAGTACCCTCTTCCAACAGGGACCAGGGTGTCTTAAGTTCACTTCTAACTCAGGTGAGATCCCAGTGTGTCAGTGACTTGCCAAGCATTTAGGTCCAGTTAGCCAAGGATCAAGGTCAGAGATTTCTATTCTATCTGAATAGGGGAAGGCCTGGGACTTATTTTTTTATTTTATTTTACATGCATTCATGTTTTACCTGCATGTGTGTCTGTGTGAAGGTGTTGGATCCCCTGAAACTGGAGCTACAGGCAGTAATGAGCTGCCCTATGTCCTCTGAAAGAGCAGCCACTGTTCTTAACAGCTGAGCCGTCTCTCCAGCCCAGCCTTGGACTTTTGAGTCAGGGGGGTCTACTTGATCTAAATTCACCTCTAGTGTGTCACGGGGACTGCTTTGGTTGGGAGAAGGCACAGCAGGGGGACTGAGCTGGGGAAGGAAGTATTTGGGGTAATGATGAAAAATCTAGGAGGCTTTATAACAGAGGTGGAAGCTGAATCAGTTCAGGAGGCTGAGGGCCCTGGGGCTCATTCCTGGACTTCTCCTGTCCCTTTGTTTGCAAGACTTCAGTAATGTTAATATAAATAATATTTCCAAAGCTTACCTAGCAGAGCATCATATTATCTATACTCTTCACAAAGATTCTATTGGGCTATTATATTGTCTGGATATTTGGATCTCAGTCAATTAAGGGGATTGAGTCAGTGGCCAACCTCAGTTCTGTCTGAGGCCTTGTCCTAGACTTGATCCCCTGTGTCATATGACAAAATATTAGACATTTTTTAAGGCCAAGAAGACTATGGGATTTGTGGCCACAGAGGCTCAAGTTCAAAGCTGATTGTATCTGCTCGTGTCCCCAGACCAGTTATCTGGCCTCCTAATACCTTCAACTTACCTTCCACCAGACCTTGGGACATTGCTTTAACTTGGCCACATAGAGTTCATAGTGTGAATTGATTTTCACTTGTTACTATTTGAAATTCTATTTATATTTTTAAAGTCCTATTTAAAATGAAATAACCTTGAATTGTACACTGAATAGGTCATCTTTACTGAAGATACTAAGGAGAGAGGGCTCAGTGTGCCAAGGCACTGACTGAGAGCTTGACAGCCCAAGTTCGAACCCTGGGACTTCCATTGTCTCTTCCACCTTTTATCTTAGTTCATATTACTTTTTAAATTTTACATGTGCAGGCATGTGTGGAGCACATGAGTGACAGTTAGAGGACAAGCTTCGGGAGCCAGTTTTTCTTCTACTATGAGGCCTTCTAGGATGGAGATCAGATTTGGCAGCATGCCTTTGCTCAGTGAACTATCTTGTCAGCTTCCCCTCTCTATTAAGCAATTAGCTGAGACCTCTGCCTCATATTATACAACTCCCCCCAACCCATACTCCTGCCTCTGCCTCCCAACTTCTGGGCTTACAGACATAGACAAGCACACCAGGCTTAGATAGTTTTTCCAAGAAGGGGATTTCCAGGTATATCTGCAGCTCCCTCTGCTCTCACTCCAGGTCCGTCTTCCCCAGAGGCACCAGGTGTCCTCAGGCAGCACAACTTGTTATTGTAAGCCCTTGTTGATGACGCTAATGTCTTTCCCACAGGACGGAGTTCCTAGAAAGCCCTGGAAATGATTTTCTCAATGTTATGTACCCAGCACCGGGCATAGACAAGGGCTCAGAAAGGCTAGATGGGTAGACAGAAGGAAGACCGAGAGAATAGATGAACGATAAGAGAGAGGATGGATGAACACATGGCTCCAAGGGCTGTGGAGATGCATCAGTTAGTCAGAATACTTGTTGTACAAACATGAGAGCTTCAGTTCAAATTCTCAGCTCCGGTGTGAAGATGTGCATGGCTCTAAGTGTGTCTGTGGTCCCAGCACGGGGAAGGGCAGAGACAGGAGGATCATCTGGGCTTGCTAGATGCACGCCTAGCGCCAGGGGCAGTGAGAGACCCTACCCCAAGGGAAGGTGACATGTGATAGAACATGCCAGCTAATGTCCTCCTCTGGCCCCCACAAATGAATAGGCTTTCATATCTACACACCTGCACACATACAAACATAATACCCCAATACACCACATATACTCACACACCCCAAAAAGAAAGAGGGAAAAAGAAAGAAAAGTTTGATAGGAGGAAGAAGGAAATTGACATGAGTAAATCCAGAAGAGAGGAGGGCGGATTGAAGAATACAGTGGTGACCGGAATGGGGCAAAGGCAGCGTGGGACGACAGAAACCCATAGCTCCAACCTTCAAGAAAGTTCCAGTCTGGAGGCCCAAGCTGGTGGAGCCAGCACAGAAACTCTCCTCTCTTGCAGGCATGGCTGGCATCCCCTTTCCTTCTCTGGCCCCACCCATCACACTGCTGGAGGATGGAAGGCAGCAGCTGTTGGTGGTCTGCCTGGTCCTCGATGCTGCACCCCCTGGCCTTGACAGCCCCATCTGGTTCTCCGCTGGCAATGGCAGTGCACTAGATGCCTTCACCTACGGGCCCTCCCCAGCACCGGATGGCACCTGGACCAGCCTGGCCCAGATTTCCTTGCCCTCTGAAGAGCTGGAAGCCTGGGAGCCCTTGGTCTGCCACACCAGGCCTGGGACTGGGGGCCAGAGCCGGAGCACACTCCCGATCCTGCTGTCAGGTGGGGATGAAGCCTGGGGACTTGTCCCTTTCCAAACCCTGGAGCCAGGATAGAGTGGGGAGGGGACGTAGGCTCCAGGCATGGGGCATGAAGGACATGTAAGCATAGACCCTGGCTCCCAGTAGAGTGGCTTTGAGACCATGATTCCTGGGATAGACAGCTGTGGTGTATGGTTCAGGTTTTCTCTTGAGCACTCAAGAAGTAGAGACAGAAGGATCAAGGCTATCCTTGACAGTGAGTTCAAGGCCTGTTTGAGTTACGTGAAGCTGTGTCAGAAACCAAAGTGAAAGCAAACCCAGGCACTGATGTGTGATTGCCAAGAGATATTAATGGCACCGCCACCACCCAGCTTTCATTTGAAATTTTTCAAAGATTATTATTTTGAAGTGCCTGTG